ATCAAATTGGCCTTTTTTAATCCTCTCATTTCCTACACGTATAAACCCAGTAGCTATGTTCTCACTAGCAGTTACTGTGAGTATTTTAAAACTACGGCAAATAGCCTGAGTGTTCTCCAGTCTCTGCTGCTGATTAATAAGACTGATCAGCCTTCTGTTCATTCAGATAGCTTAACGAACTCAAATTTGACTGCACTGAACAGTGGAGACTATGAGCATAAACCAGTAATGGTCTCCTAAAACTAGAGCCCAGCAAAGGGTAACTCTATGGTCACGGTTAATCCCATCACACGCTAAATAATTCAACAGTGGCCTGCTACAAAACATATTGCTTCCCAGTGCCTGTGTCCATGTCCTCCCGTCATGTCAGGGCAAGACCCAAGTTTGTAGCACCCGCCCTGCTTCCCGCACACTTGATTCTGTGCAGAGGAAATGTGGACAGGCAGCCCCACCCGGACCCCAAACGGTGATGCCTCAGATCAAAAAGTAAACGTGGTCTGATCGAGCAAGCTCAGAAGTCCACTCGCTTTGGACTTCAACTATAGAAAACATAGCATTTGCCCACTGACTGAGGACTTCCCTACGTCACAGGATGGCACTGACATGTTCTTCAGAACACTTTGCAGATATGTTTTGTAAATTTTCAGAACACTTCATAAATGACAAAATGAAAGGGTCCTCACAAATATGTATTATTGCTAACACAAAACGCTTATTCTTCTGTGCTCTGATCCTGAAATGTTTTTATATGTTTCAAATAATGAAAGAAAAATTTAAAATGAAAAGAATCCTAGTAACAGACTCACTAACATATTAAAATAAGTAGCTACAGCAATTTGAATAGTACAGATTCTGCGTTCCTCATAGCGTTATGGGAGATCCTTTTTGTTTGGCTTCCTTCTTGCAAGGCTTGGGAAAATTATGCAGACTCCTTTTTTAAAAAAGGGGACATAAAAGGTGGTCCTGAAAGCAGCCCAACAAATGCAAGCTGTTTCCTCCCATCCTTCCCCTCACCATCTCGCAGTGAACAAAGAGAATCTGTGTCTCTGTAGCACAGGTTTCCTTGAGGGAAAAAGAGGTTTGCATCAGTTCCTGAACACAGTTGCATGGTAGTGCTGCTGAAATTGCTCTGCATTTAGGTCAAATCTTGAAATGAGATTTAAAATACTACCAGCTCTGAAGATGTTCTATGTGAGACTCTTCAGGTATATCTTACACATTGAAATAAGGCACTAAGGAGACTTAAGGAGAAGCCAGTGACTCAAGTCACTGGAAAACAAACTCTGTAGTATTTTATCTATGATTCTTGTAAGAACAGAACTGTGACAGGTGATAAAGAACAGTGAACAGAGGTATCTAGGAAAAACCCACAGCTCGACTGTAAGTGCTTTTCAGATGGACAATGGAGCACAGGCTGTAGGAGAAGGGAAAGCAGGAAAATAATGCAGCAAATAGACTGCATCTTACAGAAGAAATCTCATCATCAAAACCATTTCAGCATTCCCTATTTAAAAAAAAAGGGATTTTTTAGGACTACAAGTGCAAAATATGCCTTTCCAAATTTTCTTTTCTAACAACTTGTTAATGCTAGTTCGCCTATGTCTTCTCATTGTGAAACACACAGCACATTTTTAGAGCTGTGCAAAGAACAGAATTGGTGTATAAGGAATTTAGAAACTGAACAGATATTTATTCACTTAACTGGCAGTCTGAGAATGCCGATACATGTTTTAATAAAACTGAAATATACAAATACTGATAATATAACTAATATTTTATTATTTTAAAATATTATTTGATTTTACCCCACCATTATTTCATTATAGATGCTTGAAAATATTCCACAGTAAATAAGCAAGTTTGTTATATTGTTACACTGACAGGCTGTCAAAAAAATTGCCATATTATTGCTAAAACAAACTATATCAGTGTATGTTGTGAGCTGCATAAAAGACAAGAACTTGATACTAGAAATCCCTCGAATAAATAGAAGTACTAAGGCAACTAAGTGACTGTCTCTCTGCAGAACTTGTGTAACCAGGTGTTGTTCAGCTCTGTAATCCTTTTTAGCTTTTAGTTGGACAAAATTTATCCTTTTCACTTCAGCGGCAGTTTGTCCAGTTAATAGCATATTGTTGTTAATATAGCTGCTATCTCCTAGTAGCCCTGCATAGAAATAAAATTGCTGCTGTTAGTAATATTCCCAGACAGAGTACGCTAAGGGGAATCTCTCCTGTTATCACAGCGGAACGGACTGGGTGAACATGGCTCCTTTATGTTTGCCAGTAGCCGCCTGATCTTGATTTCAGCTAAAATCCGAGGCAGGTATGCTGGCTGCGTAGAGAGGTCAGGATCTCAGAAACCATTTTTCTCAGCAGGGGGATGTTTTATGATACAGCGTCCCAGAAGTGACCGCGTTGTCTTAGACGTCCCTCCCTTCCATAAGCACAAAACCTCCACTTCTTTTACAAAAGAGAAAAGAAGTAAAAGGTCTTGCCTGCTGCATACAGCTATCCTTCAGCATTCAGCACTGTCCTTTCATTTACAGTATCTAATTCTATTTATATTTCCTGATTAGCTAATAGAATTTACTCTGACCTAAGGGAGAGGTTAATTTTTTACTGGATACGGTGATTGCCATGTGGCTCTGTGTTTGTGTGTGTGTGTGTGTGTGTGTGTGTGTGGAGAGGATGTTGCTCACCTACATTTAGACAATTAGAATACATAATTTTCCTATTATTAATTAATTTCAGTTGCATATTATCTGTTGCTCTTTTTAAAGGCAAAAACATTGTTTACTATCAGAAATGTACAGTCCAAAAAGGCATTCTTGAATGGTTTATTTTGGAAGTGTCAAGGGTTTTAAAATAAACAAAAGTAAATTTTCAAATATGTTTTGTATTGCAAAACAGTGCAACAGCAGTGGCTCCATACAATACCATATGGATGAAAGAAATCCAGAAGTTAATTTCTTTAAGAAATCCAGAAGTTAATTTCTTTAAGACATAGAATATAATGACATAGACACTTCCAGATCTAGTCTTACTTGTGTCATAGATAGCACTGCCTGCCTTTTTGTGATTATTTAAATTAAACCTAATTTAATAACTGTTAGAATTTTATTTTTCTATATTGATGTGTTCAAGTTTAGAAAAGGAAAACAGTTAAAAACTACTGACTTTGGGACAGACACTGCAAGACCCTAAGTACTGCAGCCTCCGAGAGTACACATACATTTATTTCTCAGGAATATATGTCATTACCTGCAGATTAATCAATACAAAATGATCATGCAATTAAATATGACAGTCTGAAGTTTAAAGCTGCAGATCATGATTTTCCTACGCGCAATGCTGCTTGAAATCTCTCACACCTTTACAAAAATATAATTAGCTTTAGATTTACCCACAATAAATAACACCAGAACATACCTTGTGCTACCAACCTGAATTTAAAAAAGCAACAGAGGCCACCTCAATGTTTTGAGTTTATGGGCTCTTTCAGACACAAAGCCCTAACAGAGTTTCCCAGACAAGAGGCATCAGGAAGGATCATCGCTTACAGTGAACTTGGGCTTTAGCTTGACAGACCTCTTCCTTATAGTGGCTTTTGGGGAAAACGGCATGGTGTCCATAATGCTCTTGTCCTCCTCCAGTTGCCTAGCAGTGCACGAAGGGGTGGGCACTTTCACCGTGTTGCCAAATTTAGAGTAGTCCACGGAGTATCGCCCATCTTCCTCTGCCACGATGGGCACAAACCTTTGGCCCCAGAGGATTTCATCGGCCAGGTAGGAGGTCCTGGCCTGAGTGGTGATGCCGGTGGTCTCCACCACTCCTTCCAGGATGACGATGATCTCCAGGTCCTCGTGGTGGTGGAGGTTCAAAGGGGAGATGTCGTAGAGGGGGCTGTTCTTGTCTATCACGTGGTAGATGATGAGTGGGGAGACGAGGAAGATGCTGTTGCCCCCCACGGGGTTCTCCATCTGGATGTCGATCTGGTTGAGGGGCACCACCTCCCCCTCCAGGCTGGCGGTCTTCTTCACCACCTGCATACGGATGGTGGCGCTTATGATCATGCTCTTCCGGAGGTCACCCACCCGCAGCATGAAGCAGAGCTTGCCCTCCCGCAAGGCGATGACCGCGTGCTTGCTGAAGATGAGGGTCTCGGCCCGGCGGTGGGCCTGCGAGGTCTTCATGAAGATGCAGCCCAGCATGATGGCGTTGATCACCAGCCCCACGATGTTCTGCACGATCAGCACCAGGATGGCGGCCGGGCACTCCTCCGTCACCATGCGGCCCCCGAAGCCGATCGTCACCTGCACCTCGATGGAGAAGAGGAAGGCGGAGGCGAAGGAGTGGATGCTGGTCACGCAGGGCACGAAGTCGGCGGGGGGCCCGGCTGCCCCCTCGCCCAGCCCCCGCTGCACCCGCGTGCTGTGGTCCAGGTCGCCGGGGGCGAAGGCGATGAACCACCCGACA